ATTTTGAGGAACAATTCATGAGTTCCAACAGCAAGAGAAAGACCACAAGTCACATCAGGGAGTCGGGTAAAAAAAGAAGTGCAGACCATGACCCACAGGAAGAATCAAGAACATCAAGAGCAACAAAACTGACACATACAATGAACGAAGTTGTCAGCAATAATAAAGGTTGTACGAATGCAGTAGAAAATTTGTACAACATTGAAAATGATGATGATAATAATGAGAATGAAACAGTGATTATTCTTTGTATTTTTTTTTTTTTTTTTCGCAATAAAAATTACGTAGATTAATTTTTTTTTTCTGAAATTACCACCCAGCGAAAGCAAAAAATTCCTTCGCAAAAAATTAGGTTTAAAAAACAAAGATTTTTCGGTTTAATTGCAATTGCAACGCATTGCTTTGCAATTCAATTCAACGCAACTCAATTTCAATGCAATTGCAATTGCAACCTGTTTTATAAAACAAAACATTTGCCGTACGACACAATTTTTGCTAAATATGGTGAAAACGTTGATCGCGCCAAAAACCGAAAAGACCAGGCGCGGCTAAAAAAGGAGACAATTGGCGAGAAAACTGCACGGAAGTCGCACGACCTGCGAGTTTTGGAAGGAGATCGTGACACGGCAAATGTTAAATCTTTTTTTTGTGTTAATTAATTAATAATATCAATAGCATGATTTTCATCACACTAACTAAATACTAAAAATAAGAAAGATGCTTGCCGCCACCAAAAAAAGCATTCTTAGTAACAATTGTTGAAGCTTGAAACTAAACAGCTTTTTTTCTTAAAATGCAAAATAAACAAAATTCATTCTTACCAAAACAGTTCTCTTCGGATTTTATCGCACGACAAATGTCTATCACGCGGAAAAAAGGCATTTACATTGATCATCAAAGAAAAAGAATCACGTAGATCGATTTCAGAACAAAATAAAAAAATTTTTTTTTGAAATTTACCACCCAGCGAAAACAAAAAATTCCTTTCCAAAAAATTAGGTTTAAGAAACATAGATTTTTTTCCTGATCATTTGCAACAAAGCATTGCATTTCAAGGCATTACAATTCAATGCACAATTGCAAAAAATAGTATATGAAATAAAACATTTGCCGTACGACGCAAAATTGGCGAAAATGTTGATCGCGCCAAAAACCGAAAAAAAACAAGCACAGCTAAACATAAAAAGAGATAATTGGCGAAAAACCTGTACGAAGATTATGAACTTTGCGAATTTCGGAAGGAGATGGTGACACGGCAAATAGAAAATTTCTTCTTTGTGTTAAAA